AGACGATACGCGATGACAAACATTTTATTTCTGTTAAATAAGTATGATTCTCGTAAGTTCAGATTTATAATAGTATATGTGAGTTAAATATAAAATCAATGCTTTCTTGTTGCATTTTATTTCTATGTTTATATAGAAACTTTCTTTTAGCTTCATATCAGATTAACTAAAAATTAAATCCAGAATATCTGCGAAAAATTCCATGAGAGTTCGTATAAAAGTTTTATCTCATTTATTGAAGTTTGAGTTAACTTTAAATGTGATTAAGTTGTTAGATAAAATACTAGGTTCTCGCTTTTTCTTTTATTTTTAAACTTCCTGACCAGTTTGGATTCGTGAACCTTTCTAGATAATAATATTAAAGATAATTGTAAGAGTTTATTCTTATAAATTGAACTTTAGGAATATATAATAAAAAGAGAAATAATTATAATAGAGAAAGAAATAACAGAATTTTAATCTTTACATAAATTAAATCCGAGAATATAAAAATAAATAATAGAATTTTAGAATATTTATTTATTTATTTAATAATAGATAATAGATAATAGATATAAAATAACTTTGAGATTAAAGAAATTTTTATTAAAGAAGTCCAGATTTTGAATTTCTTAAAAAAAAAAAGAAATTGATTAAATATATCTCTTACAATTCGTGATATAAATCAGAACATAAATTACGATCACATATTATAATATATTATTTTTATCGTATTAAAAAGAAATATAAAAAGAAATTGAAGCTTTTTTTCGTATATTACGTCTAAAAATCTTCAATTTGTATGTATTAGAAAACCCGCTAGAAGCTAATGCATTCAGTACTTAATTTTATGTATACATATATATATATATCATATATATACATATATAAATGTATATATAAAAGATTAATTTAAATAAGTTTCGTATTATTTCTAAAAATGGTATTAAGTCGTCTTTGTTTATTTTGACGATGGTTATATTTATGATTTAACTGCGGATTCGACCTGGTGAGCCCCAGGTAGTTGCTCGACCGCCCAAGGCGCGCTTGTCTAAATATAGATCACTAATCCTACGTTTTCGTCGGTTCTAAACTCGCTACCGTCGCGTGTCCCGGCTACATTGACAAGTAGAAAAGTCTGTCTGCATTAGTTCGACGATGTTTGCCTTGAACTCTTGTGCCCTACCATTTCTTCTCTCCCACGTTCAATATTTGTCTATTTTAATCGTATATTATAATTATAGAACACAAAATATAAGAAAGCATTTAGATATTCTACAAATGTATCTACATAGAAAGTAGTATGAAATATAAGAAGTGTTGAAATATGTTGTTCACTTTTAATTGTTTTTGAAATTATTAGACAAAATCTTAAATGAGATGTCATATATTTTATGCAATTAAATAAATTTAATTTAATAAATTTTTATTTCAAATTGTTGTTTCTATATTTCGCACAAAGATTTGCATTAAAACATTAATAATTTTTTTAAAGACATTAATTTTTATGTATATACTTTTTTTTTGTAATAAAAATTTCAATTTATTATTATTATTATTTCTCATCATATAGCTATTTCAGAATATTCAATCCGATATTATTTTTCTTTTTTAATGCTGTATTAGAATCAATTAATGTATTTTAACTATTTTTAATACACATTTAATATCTATTACTTTTTTGTCAAACAACAGTATTTATTATTAGATTCAACTAATATATTTATTAGTTTTTATGTATTATTTTTCTAGTTTGTTTAAAAGGAAGAATTGTGTGGAATATATGTTTCCTACAATAGCCGTGTAAGAGAAAAAAAGGTGTATAGTGGGATATTAACTGACAGGACTGAAAGATTATTTGTTAAATAAATGAAAAGCGTGAAAAAGGAGAAAGATCGATAACATCACGCGTAATATCACGTGTGCGAAATACGAGAAGGCGAGCATCAGGTGAGATCCCTACAGGACGAGTTTCATGGTCGCTATAAAAGTCCGTAGGAAACGTAAATCAGGGCCGAGGAATGGGCCCGGGTGGCCGTAGGGTGCGGAAAAATTATTGCCTACCGGGAAAACCGTGCTCGGGCGAAAGTTTGTATGACCTGCAATTTCGGGTCGACTTTCACTCTTTTTTGTATTTTTGAGAGAAATGTGTATTGATACGCGACAGAAAAAATATTTGTTCATAAAAATAGAATAGCAAACTAGTACATCAAATTAATCGCGATAAAAAAAAAATCGTGCGTAAATTATTAACTCTGATTTTAAATTTGAAAATTCTTAATATTTTAAGGTTTTTTGAAATATATGAATTCTAAAAAAATTATAAAAATTTAATAATATATATTACATTTAAAGTTCTAAAATTTAAATTGTTGTATTATTTTTATTTTATTTTTTTGTGAAAGAGTTAGGAATTTATGTTATAAAGTTTATATAATTTAACATTATTGAAGATATATATTCTATATATTAATTGTTTAGCAGTCTTATATAAATTGGATTAATAAAGGATTTTTTACATAATTTTTTAAGTTTATATATTTCTCCTTCAAATAATAAAAGATATAATATATGGTAGAGTTTTTGTGATAATAGCACGCAGGATATTGAGCAATCAATCATTTTCAGCGAGAACATTTTTTTTCTTCAAGCGTGTGTCACGTCGTTCGCAGCTTTATTTTGCTCCCCACATCACAACCGAAAATTGCGTGCGTCCCGAGAAATCCGCTGGAAAAAGGAACGATCTGTAGCTGTCGAGTGCGATCCATTACACTTCATTTTGCTCTCCCTTTTTCTTACTTTTAGTCTTCGTTTGATCTCTCGAGCAACGCATGTCGGCAGAATAAATGATTGGCCATTGTGCATAGTATAATGTTGTTTCTATGTCCCAGATCATATTATGATTCTCTTTTCGCATCAATTTTCATAGACAGTGTCAAGTATCGACATTCTTTTTCCTCTCGGAGTTTTTGAATAATCGAGATAGAATATATCATAAGATGTTAGATATATAAGTATATAAAAGTTTGAAAGTTAAATTTGGTATATAATAGGATGTTTGTATAACTATATTTGTTTTATCTGTGAATTCTTCGATTAATTTTGGCCTCGATAAATTCTATAAATCTTGAAGTTTTAAGATTATATAAATCTGGAGTTTCAAAACTTTTCAAGTTTTAGAACTCAATTCTTTGCACTATCTCATAATTTCTTAAAATTGCACATCAGCATTTATCATATCTGCAATTGCAGTGTGTTTGAATGAAAAATATATGTTGCAATAAGATAAAATTAAAGGAAAATTCTGATATGTATATAATAAATTATAAAATACATAAAAATCGACGAAATTAAAAAGATGACATTTTAAAATGTAAATAGGAAATATTTTACATACAAAAAATTGAGGAAAATATTGCTCGATATTGCTCGTTAGTAAGGTGACAAGTTTTGTAAGAAATATCTCGATCAGCTCATATAATTTGCCTTTAGATGTAGAATTTCAACGAGAGATTCGCGATAAATAGCGATCGAGATAGAGAAATAAAAATTTCTTTTATTTTTATCTAATAAATATATACGCTATTGCTTATGTGAATACGCGATTTAAAGTAATATTTTATGTTAGATGGATGATAATAATAAGTTTTTCTTTGAACATTCAATTTTAATTATTATCAAATTTTTTTCAAACATTTAAATTTTATAATTATGCGTTATGGTGATGTTTACATGATGCGTCTAGAAGCAAGATTTTCGTTAATGTTGAAAAACAACACAGAAAAATATGAGAGCATCCCACTTCAGAAAAAAGCATTGAATTTTAATTATCAAATTTTTTTCAAATATTTAAATTTTATAATTCTGCGTTATGGTAATGTTCACATGATGCAGCAAGTCTAAAAACAAGATTCTTGTTAATGTGGAAAAACAATGCAGAAAAATATGAGAGCATCCCACTTGAGAAAAAAGCTCTCGCATCTCTTATCGTCGCCGCAATCCCTGCGGAATGCAAACGTTCAAGTGCGTCGCGAACTCGTCATGAGAACAAGTTAAACAGATAGCTACGGGCTCGCGCGTATTTGTTCGACCGTGTGTTTACGTCACCCGATATATGGTAAATATGTAAATGGGGTTGGACTGTTAGAAGTCTTGTGGGAAATGGTCAGCTATATAGCGAGTCACGTGTAACCGTGGAAAAGTTTTACGGTCGGACATTCGCACGGCTGAGAAACGAGGACGGACCGTACCTTTTACAGTTGAATTCTTCAAGCACGCCGTGAATTATCCACATTCTCCCATTTCTCTCACTGCGATGCGAATTCTCCTAACTCCGTGGGCGACAACAGCGGGTATACATAATTTCATCATGCTTTCTGAACATTTGGCCGGATCGTTTGGCTTAGCTGCCGCCGTTTTGTGTCGCTAACAATGCCCGTAATAATGTTTCGTGAATGTATTTCTGTTGCGCGAAGTATGTTTGCTTGGAATTAGACATATATCTCAAAACGAATGAGATCGCATAACTTTGACAATTTTTCTTTTGCACGACATTCGCTTCGAAGTATACATAAATGAATAAGATTGCATTTTTCGATTACACAATGCATTATATTTAAATATTTACTTAAAATTATACATGAAAATTTGAATTTTGAGAAATATTTCCTGGATTTTTCTCTGAATTTATTTAATATATTCTCATTTATAGCATTTAATGCTTATTAAAATTTATAAATTCAATCTTTTAAATTCTAGAATTTTTTAATCTAATAAATTTTTACATACAAAGTTATATGTATATTTCAAAATGTTGGAATATTCGATTTTTATCAAAATATCTGATTTTCTGTGTACTAATATTTAAGAAATAAAATACTATTGAAAGAATAAATAATAATTAAAAATATATGTACATATATAAATTTTAATAGTGATTTTTGAAAAGTTGCAAATTAATATACATATTATATAAGTTATGGAGCAGCTGTCTTAAAAAACTTTCTTTGTATCTGTTTCAGCTACGGTGACATGGTTCCGAAAACGATTGCGGGAAAAATCGTCGGGGGTGTATGCTCCTTGAGCGGTGTCCTAGTGATCGCTTTACCGGTACCTGTTATCGTCAGTAATTTCAGCAGAATATATCATCAAAATCAACGTGCTGACAAACGAAAGGCACAGAGGGTGAGTGCACTTAAAACATCTTTTAATATATATATACGTAATTTTTCAAAGGATTTCCTAATCTACTTAATCCACTTAATTCAATAAATTTTATATTGATCATAGTATTTTGTTTCTTTATTTTAATTCTACGTAATATACTATTAACATTATAGTAAATCATTAATTAATTCCAACGATAATTAAAGAACAATCTATAAAGAGTAGAAGATAGTACGCTAGACCTGTTTTGAGAGCCATAAATTCGAATTACTGTGATAGATAAAGTATAAAGTAGTAATTACTATCAAAAGTTTGAACTTTAGTAGCACTCCAATTTGAAACTTTATGTATAGAAATATTTACATATATCTATATATATCTAAAATATCTATATACATATAATTTCGATAACATCTAAATGTTTATCACAGAAGCGAATACAAAATTCAAAAATATTATTTCAAGATTTCCATAGATTATCTAAAATCTTATATATAGATTCACATTTATCCTTATCTATATAAAATTTTTAAAATATAAAATAAAAATTAGAAATATATACTAGTTACATTCTTTTTCAAACTATTTTGCATTTATATTTATATAAAATGTTTTATATAGAATTGAGAAAAGTACATAGAGAATTAGGATTTTATAAGATTAAAAGACTATCTGTAAATTCAAAAGTAAATAATTAAACAATAATAAGAATATTTTTAAGTCAGCTCTTTAATTATTTAACCACAATCTACATTTCATTCCTCTTGACTAAAGAGCCAAACGCGATGTTATTGCGACAATTAAGAAAGAAAGAAAATTTGGAAACTAAGAAATTTGAATCCTATGGTTGGGATCTCAGAAATTCCCCTTGTTCCTTCTTTTAACATCCCCTGTAAAGAAAATAAGCGAGAAAAATATTGGTCCGAAAGTCGGCTGAATCGGGAATCGAACCCGAGACCTTCCGCTTTCAGAGAAGGAATAAGGGAAATTTCTGAGATCCCAACCATAGGATTCAAATTCCTTAGTTTTCAAATTTTCTTTCTTTCTTAATTGTCGCAATAACATCGCGTTTGGCTCTTTAGTCAAGAGGAATGAAGTGTAGATTGTGGTTAAATAATTAAACATGTTTTGTTTCTTTAATTTGAAGCAACTTTTAATATAATTTTAATTTTGATACGTTTAGAGTTATTAAGATAACAAATATTAAATTTTAAAAACTTATAAAAACTTTATCGATTCCTAAAAAAAGTTGATTCTAAGAAACAAAACCCTATATATATATATCTTATATGTTGTCAATTCTAGAATACTATATATACATATAATTATGAGTATCTCGCGCGTTTTTTATATGCAATAATTTAACTTTCGTGTAAAGTTATATTTATATATTTCGAAATATATACGTTATAATTTTACGTACGGCACTTCTCTAAACATTATCGTCTTCTTTTGACGTATACAACGCGCATCTACAAATAGCTGCGTTCCTATTCGTGCCATAGAGAAGTGTACACTTTATTCTGGTATATTCTGAATATCGATACTTCGGGATGCTGTCTTCGGGCTAAACTTGCTTTGCTGGCTCAGGGCCGCTTCGTAATAAAATCGCTAACTAGAGCATCAGAGCTATATGAAACTGGCACCCTACTTTCAAAAAATTTATTTCTTTAATACGGAAATGATAGTATTTTGTTTGTAGTTGTTTGTAGTAACAATAGTTTTGTTTTATCACTTAAATAAAAAAAAATAAAAATAAAAAATAACTAGCACCCGACATTGAAATATCTCTAATCCGCTTGCGCAATCTTTTTTTAAAAATCATTTGTAGTTGTTTGTAATAATTTTGCTTTTGTCTGTAGTTACAATTGCAATCAAAATTTATATTGATACAAACAACTACAAACGAGTCTGAATTACCTGGAAAAAGCTGATTTGAAAAATCTTTAAAATTGACAAAGTTTGATCCTGATCACTTATTTAAACAATTGTAATTACTAAAACCATACAATTACAAACAACACTACAAATACCATAACTACATACAAATGATTCTAAAAAAGACTGCGCAAGCGGAATTGAGGTATCTTAATGTCAGGTGCTGGTTATTTTTAATTTTTTAATTAATAAAACTACAAACGAAATTATTGTTACTACAAACAATTACAAACAAAATGCCATCATTTTCCGTATTAAAAAATTAAGTTCTTAAAAATTGGTGCCAGGTTCACATACAAGTAGCTGACCATCAGAGCTTTTCTTATTATGTCCCAAAACAAGAGCGGAATTAAGGAGAATTGTCTGATGTTTATTCTCATACAAATTGCAGTATAAATAGTATAAATAGTAAAATAATATAAGATATTTTTAAATATTAAATTTATTGGATTATTCAATAAAAATGTTTATATTACTTTTTTGCTCTGTAACATATTTTATCATTGTTCAAGTTTTAATTATAATTTAAAACTATCGAATATAATTTATCAAGATCATGTAATAAGATTGATGATCCATATGACTCACAACTTCTCTTTTCTTTTTTCCTTCGTACAATAAATAGGTATTTAATATAGAACATTTTGACATATTTCCATGCACATATAAGATTCAAAATGCTGCAATCTGTATTTGTGATAAATATCAAGCGGTATACATTTGCAATGCAAGTAAATTATTATTCCCGTCAGTAAATTATGATATATAAAATTTGCAACTTATGTGAGTTGCAAATTTTATATATCATAATTTATCTTTATGTAACAATATCGAAGATGACTAGCAGCAGACTGAGTATATAAATTTCGCGACCAACATTCTCAAAGGCGAGGAACTCTCCCGTCGCCATTTTCGTATCCCCTAATATCGACGTTTCGAAGATATTTCTTCCATTATAGAGAGGAAGCGGCAGTCCCAGTCGGGTCGCAGTCGATGACACGTTAGCTCGTTTCGCGTCATCATTCCCACAAGTCGGACGATTTATTCTCACCCACGTGCAGTCTGTAACTTTGTCCCCGTAGCACAGTTACGACCATTTAACTGAACATCAACATTTCACAAACTGATCGCGAAAAAAGTATAAACGAATTACTCCGTTTGCAAAAAAAGATAGATTCTTTTAACTTTGCGTGATTATCCTTAAAAGCTCTGCATTCATAGAAAATTGAATAAAAAAGATCAAATTATGCATCCTCTATTAAAGTTTAACACAATTTATTATTATAATTATTATAATGTATAGAAAATATATACCTATGTAAAATAAAAATATGAATCTATAATCTTTTTATAAATTTAAAATTTTGATAAATAATCAAATGTTTTGCACAATTAAATCACATTAAAAAAATTGTACACATTATATAAAAAATGGTAATTTGAATAATTTAATTTCTTCTTTTCATGCAAAGCAGAGCTTTCTTATCCTAAAACTGTCTTATAGTATCATGAGCAAATAGGGACGGTTATTCTCAAACATTTACTTCGCTCCCGTGACACAATTACCATTTTTAGCATCGACATTTCGGCTGCGTATCGATCGAGCCGTAAAAAGAATTTCAGCCGAATTCGCTTTGTTTCGAAAGATAAAGAGAGAAGGAAAAAGATCACTCCCTTGATCTTCGTTGCGCGTCTACTACTTTTATTGTGTATTCTCTCAGGCAGAATATCATCTTTTGCGCGATATTTTTACGAGAACTCAGGGATGAATGTGCGAGTGGGATTTATTCTGAAAGGCGAAAGTGATCTTTTAAATCTCTTTCGCGTATACGAACGAACGATTTATTTCCACACGTGTAAGTTTATGCGTCTACTTTGCTCGCGTCGATACGCTTCGAACGATTTAAGCAGACATCGTCGACGTGTCTGGATCTTGCGGAGAAGAAAGATGGTATCATGGCTAGTTGAAAAAGGAAGTCAGTTGCGATCTTTTAAATCTTTTCTGTACGCTCGATTTCGTGAAAATGCACCATATTACAAATGAAGAGAATTTATGTCTCAGTTATAAATTGGATGACATAATTCATTCTGACTTGCGAAATTATACCGTTGAGCGTAATTTTTTAAAAAAGAAATTTCTCTGAAAATTAAGAGTTGACACAATTAGACTTACATAAAAACAAAAAGAAAAAATAATTACTTTATTTCATATTATTTATTATACCTTTTTTAAATATTTATTATTTCATTGATATACAATTTAATATATTTTGCTTTATATTACAGAAATTTATTTGTATTAAGACTCTTTAAAAATTTTGTAAAAAACTTTTATCTATATTTCTTAAAATCATAAACGTATGTTTAAAAATAACAAAATTAGCTAATGGATAATACTTTATAAGTAAAAATTTATAATTAAACATAGAAAATTCGATTGCATTTTTAGATTCTATCCAGAATTATTATTTCTATTTTAATTAATATTTATTACAAATATTAGTTCTACCTTTCTTTTGCCCTTTCTTCTTTCAATTTCAATTTTATAATTTTTGAATTGCTTTATGCAGAATTACAAAGTTTTGGATCGCTTGGCTTCGCGAAGGTCGGTTCGCTGATGCCGCGCAGATCTGCATTGCAGATGCAGCCGCATCTACATATGCATGGACACGTTTGTTCTGATTCTCGCTCTCGGACAGCGATGGATCTTTCGTCAGGTTTCTTTCTAGCACCTTATCGACGTCCGAACTTTTGTATTGTTAGTTCTCGCGATGCTTTCTGGAACTCAACATTGCGCGATGCGTCTCGTACGTCATAGTACAATCTTAAACATCGCATATTTTGGAAATTAAGTTTCTTCGTATAGAAAGTTTGATACACAGATTTTCTCCTTTTTGAAAGATTTTTTTCTTCAAAAAATCTTTGTAGATTTTACTGCCGTGAAAAATGCGAACTGTAAGTCTCATAAGATTAATTAAATCTAAGACCCTGCAATCCCTGAATTGTCTTTAGAGATTAAAAGAACTAGCAAGGTCGCAGGAATGATGAAAGTTTAACTATTAAACGAATCCTTGGCACTA